AGCCGGTCATAATGATTATATGTGAACACTTCCGAAAAGTTCATTTACCTAGATGTATACAAATAAAAGACATATACTTACCCAAATTAGAACGAACCGAAAAGTTAATTACCTTAATAAGTCTATTTCCCTATTAAATATATATTATATATGTTCACTTCGATTTTTTTTAACGACAAATTAATATGCATATATAAAACACAAACAAACACTATGTATATTTAATATGCATAAACACAAGTATAATTTATTCTTTTACACATAACACAACACACACTTTCATATATGGACTTAGCAATAAATATCTCAATTTCTAATAAAAAGTTATTATCCCAAATTCTTTTGTTTATGATATATATATAATATATATATATATATATATATATATATATATATATATATATATATCCGGTTTTTCCGGTTTTTAGGATCGGTCCAATCGGCCAAACCAGTTGAACAATCGAAATGGTAAAACATCCAGTTCGATGTCCGGTCCAGTTTTCAAAACATTGAATTTGGTCGAGTTCCACTCGTGTAATTTTTGACCAAACAATTTGGCGCCCACCATGGGACTGTGGTGTTCAAAATCCCTCGAAAAATCATGTCTACACAGTCGACTCTGTCATCTTCCTCAATTCCTCCCTTTCCCTCCAAAAACCTTCCACCACCTCTAGTCAGAGCTCCCAAGAAAGCCTCATAAGCACCAAAGAAAAATACCTCTCAGATCGTTACCCAAGGACTCCAGGATCCTCATATGTTGATTTCCAACAAAGAAATATTAATGAAGAGGCTAGAACGAAAAGTTGCCCAACAACAGGACGATAATAGGAAACTTATCAAGGAAGTGGAGAGAATGAGGATGGAAATTCACAAGCCTCAGGAAGCTACAACCTCGATCCTGCAACTTAGGATCCTAAACTTCAATAGTGCGGGATCCTCCAAAAATCGCCGAGAGATAGGATCCTCAGCACCTACATCCGCTCCTGTCCGGGATGCAACTCCTGAAGAGAGGGCTCATATGACCCAAGATGCCAATAAAACCTTCCTTACACCTAAGACTGAGGATCCTGGTAACTTCATAAA